GCTGAAAGAGACACTTGACAAGGATGAGTAGGACCAAAGGAATTAGGCTAGCTATGATGGCCAGGAGAATGGGGACAAATGAGGCAGGCAGGACGACACCTGAGGAGGCAGGCGCTTCCTAGAAAGGAAAAGAATGGGCATCCAGAGTTCAAGGTCCCACGTTCTTGGGGGTGACCCACAGTGTGAGGATGGTAGCCTCATTCTAGAAAGCATCTAGGTCATTGGTTTTAAGACCTCAGGTGACAAGGAGGGATTTTAATGTCCTGATTTAGGGTTCCCTACAGCTGGGGGGCAGATTACCCATGTTAATTCTAAGACAAAGAGAATGTGTCAGACCCAGATGTCTTGTGCTTAGTGGGGGAGTTCTGTCATTCATTAGGCCACGGCCATATGCCCACACAATGTCTTTGGTCTGGGAGTGGCTGTCAGGGGCTGCTCCTGGGTTCTGCCCCCTAGGGGGTCGGCCTTTATGTGGAGGCACCAGGCGAACCAAAACCAATAGAATGTACCGTCCTAACACTAAGACAAATGAACAGAGAGAGAGAGAGAGAGAGAGAGAGAGAGAGACCCTTGTGCTTACCTCTTGAGAGGGCAAAGAACACAAAACACAAAGGGGCCAACTTACCGAAAGTACACTGAATGGGGGCACCGAACCATGCCATGAAGAAAAAGGGGACTCAGTGGGACTTCTCCAGTGCAAGAAAGCCCCATGCTGGGCACCAGATGTCGCCGCTGCCTGCTCCCAAGCCCCTTGGGGGTGGGCGTAAGAAGGTGGAGTCAACGGCACAGACTGTGGGAGTCAGGCAAGTGGCAAAACAGAATTGTTTATTGTGGATATTGGGCGTACCTATATACCCCCTCCTGGTGTCCCATTGGTCCCTCGGTTGCTCCGTGCTGTGTTCTTTCTCAGTGGTCTCTCTCGTCATGTGTTCTTGTATCAGCTTTTTCTCCCCGGTCAGGTATATTTCAGGTTGGCTTAAGAGGAAATAACTGTTGTGCATGCACCATAGCCTGTTTACCAGGCCTGTCAGCACTTCCTCCTACAAACTGGGTCCAGTTTTTTTGATAGACATGCCACCAGCTTATTCCAGGGCCCCAGAGTCTGAGTTAGGACTCCTTTGGCCACCCCTTCATTTCATCTATGAAAAGGTGAAAAGGCTTAGTAACATACAGGAGTCCTAGGGCTGGGGTGGCCAGAAGGGCCTGTTTGATCTTACTGAAGGCCTTTTCCTGGACCTTCGTCCAAACGAAGGGCTTGCTTTCCTATGTGACTTCATAGAGGGGCCTTGCCAATTCAGCAAATCCTGGGATCCATAAGCAGCAGAATCCTGCTGACCCCAGGAATTCTCTCACTGCCCTCTGGAAGTGAGGGGTGGGTATCTTTAGCACTGTCTCTTTCCTGGCATCTGTAAGCCATCTTTGGTCCTTCCTTTAATATTTATCCCAGATAGGTGACCTCTCTCTGGCATATTTGGGCTTTCTTGGCAGATGCCCGATATCCCAATCTGCCTAGGGTTTCCAGGAGATCTCTGGTTCCCTGCTGACACTGCGAGGTGTTATCAGCAGTTATTAAGATGTCATCCACATATTATAATAGGGTAAGCTGGGGGTGTTCCAGCTGGTACTCACCCAGGACTTCATGGAGAGCCTCATCAAACAGGGTGGGCGAATTTTTGAATACCTGCGGCAGTTGGGTCCAAGTCAGCTGCCCGTTGAAGCCAATCTCCTGGTTTTGCCAATCGAAAGGAAAGATGGGCTGGCTCTCTTTGGCCAGAGGCAGGCTAAAGAATGCATCTTTCAAGTCTAACTCCGTGTACCAGTCTCTGGAAGGTGACAAGGAACTCAGGAGAGTGTAAGGATTAGGTACCGTTGGATGAACATCCATTACCCACTAGTTTACTTCTCTCAAGTCGTGGAGTGGCCCATAGTTGAATTTTGCTTTTTGACTGGCAGGAGGGGGGTATTCCAAGCCAATCGACAAGGCACCAAGCTGCCTTGATCCCTCAGGCATCGGATATGAGGATACCCAGCCTGGCCTCCTGGAACATAGGGTACTGTTTAACTCTGGCCAGTAGGATTCCAGGCTTAAGCTCTGTCCAGATGGGGGGCTGGTGGGCAGCCAGCCCCATGCCCCCTGTCTCGGCCCAGGCTGTGGGGAACTCCTTTAACCAGGTGGAAACCTCCTCCTCTGGTGTAGAGGCCGGTTTTTGATGTAACCTAAACTCACCTTCTAGTTGTAGGGTGGGTAGCTGGATTGGGTGGCCTTCTTGGTCAGTCATTTGGGTCCCACTAGGGGTGAAATGAATGTGGGCTCCAATTTTTGTGAGCAAGTCTGTGCCCAGGAGTGGGTAGGGGCACTCTGGCATGACAAGGAGTGGGTCACCTGGCCCTTGCTCAGGTCCACTTTTCTTCAGGTAGTCCATGGTCCATGAGTATTGGTTCATGCCAGTAGCCCCCTGTACCCAGGACTTTTTATGTGATAGTTTCCTTGGGGCTCAGTTAATACCGAGTGTTGGACACCCGTGTCTACATGGAAGCTCATGGGCATCCCCTCCACTTTGAGGGTTACCCTAGGTTTGGGGAGGGGATCTGAACCGTGACCTCCCAGTTGCTCATTTCCGAGCTCGAGGATTTGCACTCCTTCTTGGGCCCTGCCTCACCTAGCAGGTTTCTCTCAGCAATCTTTCATCCAGTGGCCCATCTTTTTGCAATAGACACATTGGTTCCTCTGTAACCTTGGTTGCCCTTCCCGGGGTTTCCTACCTGAGTCCACAGAGAGGCAGCGTAGTTGGTGTTCCCACTCATCAGGCGACTTTGCAGTCATAGCCAGAAGGATCTTAGCGAAGTCTCAGGTCTGCTTGGTGCTAGCAGTGGCTGCGGCTTGAGCCTGTTTGTCTTCTGGGCTTTCTCTGTGGTTATAGACCGTCTCTGCCACTGCCAAAAGAACTGGCAGCGTCTTATCTGCCAATCTACCTAGTTTTTGTAACTTACGCCTAATGTCCGGTGCTGACTGCTTAACAAAGGCCAATATGACTACATTCTTGTTTTCTGGTGCCTCTGAATTCACGGGTGTATAAGTGCGGAACACCTCAAGGATCCTCTCTAAAAAAGGCTACCAGGGGTTCTGTGTATTCTTGCTGCACATCACTAATCTTAGCCAAATTAGTTGGGCGCCTTGCAGCGGCCTGGAGACCGCCCCCCCATTAGAGTCTGGCGGTAGATCCAGAGCCTCTCCTTACCTTCTACCACATTAAAGTCCCATTTTGGTAGGGTTAGTGGGAAGGCTTCATTGATCAGTGCCTGGTTGGTGGTGGGATTCCTATCCACCCTGGGGATCAGCTTCCGGGCCTGTTTGGATCTGGTCCCTCTCCTCGGTGGTAAATAGAATCTGTAATAGTTGCTGGATTTTGTCCCAAATGGGCTTATGGGTGAAAAGAACAGATTCTAACAGATCAATAAGGCCCTGTGGTTTCTCAGATAATTTGGCCATTTGCAATTTCCAATTGCAGAGGTCACTGGTGACAAATGGCCAATATTGCTTCTGTTGGTCTCCTGCCTCATTAAGGGGTACCACTGCCCTTAAGGGAAGGACGGTGGAGTCTGCCACTGCTCGTGGCTGTCCTCTCTGGACCCTCCTCCGAGTTTGAGGGGGGTCTCATCCCTAGGGGCTTGGACTGCCTCAGCCTCTCCTGGGGGCTCTAAATGCCCTGGTTGTGCCAGCAGTATGGGCAGATATGGGGGAGGCTCACACAGAAGTTCTTCCTCTGTTCTGCCCTGGAGGACAGGATAAAGTGGGGCGGACAGTTTAGTTTCACTTTTCTGCCACTCGTCATCATGCAGGGCGAGGATGGTTGTCTTTGAACCCTGCAGTGGCAAAAATGGTTTGAGCCATTCGGGGGGCTCTTCAACCAGGGCCTGCCAGGTCACAATATAAGAAACCTGGTCAGGGTGTCCTGGCTGCCTGAAAATATTTTTAACCTTGAAAATAGTGGGGATGTCAAACGTTCCCCCTTCCAGCCATCCAGTGTCAAAGGTTGGCCATCCATTCCTGCAAAGGACAAAGAGTCTGCCCTTTTTGACCTCCATCCCTTGTTCTCTAACCTTTTCGAAGTCATAAAAATGATCCTGGAAAACACTTAAAGGTGTTGACTTTGTCCCATGTCTATAACTAGGTAAGTCACAAATATCACGCACAACACATAGACACACTGACAAAACAATACTTCCTGGCGCCTTAAACAAGAACTGAAAGTGGGATGTCGGCCTCTTGCCACTCCGTGGGCACGACCCGCTTTTCCCTTCCAAAGTTACAATTGGGATCCAATCCCTATCAGGTGGGTCCAGGACGTCTCCTGAGTCCCATGGCCTGGGGTCTTCCAGCGCGTCCGCCTAGACCACCAACAGGCTAACATGTAATGGGGGCACAAAACCAATAGCACACAACATACACAAACAAGAGGACAGAGACACTCACTGGCCAGACCAGGCTCAATGCTCCAGGGGTCCTGTGGGGTCTTGGGGAACCCGGACGACCCCCCAAATGTTACACCCAGATCTCGCAACCCCCAATGACCACCAAGGAGTCCAGAGAGTATGCAAAAGAGCCTTCATTCGAGCTTAAGCTCGGGCCCTCAGATTTCACCCACGCAACAAGAACTGAAAGTGGGATGTCGGCCTCCTGCCACTCCGTGGGCACGACCCGCTTTCCCCTTCCAAAGTTACAAGTGGGATCCAATCCCTATCAGGTGGGTCCAGGACGTCTCCCGAGTCCCATGGCCTGGGGTCTTCCAGTGCATCCGCCTAGACCGCCAACAGGCTAACGTGTAATGGGGGCCCAAAACCAATAGCGCACAACATACACAAACAAGAGGACAGAGACACTCACTGGCCAGACCAAGCTCAATGCTCCAGGGGTCCTGTGGGGTCTTGGGGATCCCGGACGAGCCCCCAAATGTTACACCCAGATCTCGCAACCCCCAATGACCACCAAGGAGTCCAGAGAGTATGCAAAAGCAAAGAGCCTTTATTCGAGCTTAAGCTCGAGCCCTCAGATTTGACCCACGCAGTGGAACTTTACTGAGAGCCCCAATATAGGGTGGGGTAGGCTTTTAAAGGGAAGTTTCACAGAAGCCTGTGCGCACCAAGCATCCTTTCATATTGGTAGAGGCTGTCTTTAGGGCACTGGAATACACTGTTATCTGTGGGGCAGAAGTTTGTTTTTACCTTACAAGGCTGCTATATGCCTGGGCTTGCTTGTTCTATAGCTTTCCGGGATGGGGGTGGTAACTGAAGATTACAACATGTCTGACAAGCCCAGGCTTCTCTGAAACAGCTAGTCAAAATGGAGTTAGTGCTGTCTTAAGCCAAGCAGATTACAGAAGTAGAAAGAAGTGGTTAGATGAGTCAGGGTCCCACAAATGGCCTCTTCCTGAATCTGTGGCTTATGTCTCCAGAGTCAAGAGACAAGCACGTCCAAGTGACCCTCCTGTCTCCATCACCTACAATACTGCGATGACAGGTGTTTACAGGGATGTTGGCTTGTTAAATAAGTGCTGGGACCAAACTCTAAGTCTTCAGAATTGTGGAGCAAGAGCTCTTAATCACTGAGCTATCTCTCCATCTCCACCTTTGAGGCTTCTCATGCCAGTTAAATTTCAATGTTTATTAAAAGTTTTTGACATCCTTTACTTCCCACATGGTTTCACACTGATGTGGGTTTGGATGTCATATAAGGAGCACTGCCAATATAAAGTTTTGGTTTTTTCATATGCTGTCTTGCTCTGTTGTTCAGAGTAGCCTTGAATAGCAACCTTTACATTTATAAAGCTTCTCACCTGAGTGAGTTCTCTCATGTAACATGAGGTCTTGAGGTCTTACACTGGAAAGATGTCCTGTATTCTTTACATTCATAAGCCTTCTCACTTATAAATTCTCAGATGTGTGACTTGCAACAGAAATCTTCTTGCATTCAGGGCTCATCATCTGTATGATTTCTCTGATGTACATTGAAGTCTGACTTGTGGGAGAAGGTTTTCCCATTCCTCACATTTTCATACCTCCATGGCTTTTCTGATGAGCAGTAAGTTGACACTTCCAGTGGAAAGATTTATTGCATACTCCACATTCATAAGGATTCTCAGATGAATGAGTTATCTGATGTGCAGTGAGTTGTGACTTGTGGGAGAAAGCTTTTATGCACTTGTTACATTCATAAGGCTTCTCACCTGTATGAGTTCTCTCATGTATAGAGAGCTTTGACTTTCGAGAGAAAACTTTCCCACATTCTTGGCATTTGTAAGGCTTTTCACCTGTATGAGTTTTTTTATGTCGATTAAGGTCTGACTTATAGAAGAAAGCTTTCCTGCATTCCATGCATTCGAAAGTCTTCTCACCTGAGTGAGTTCTTTCATGTGCATTGAGATGTGACTTGTGGAAGAAAGCTTTCCCACATTCCTTACATTCATAGGCTCTCTCTCCTATGTGAGTTTTCTGATGTGCAATGAGGTCGGACTTCCAGTAGTACCTTTTACTACACTGGTTACATTTATGGGGCTTCTCTACATTGTGAGTTCTTCTGTAATGTTTAATGAGGGCTGCCTTATTATAGAAAGCTTTCCCACATTCATTACATTCATAGAGGTCATCTGTGTGAGATGTCTGAGTCTCGCTCTTCTGTGACTTCTGGGAAAATGTTTTCACACGTGCTTTACCAAGAAAGGAGTCTTTCTGTTTGTAGGTTTTCTGTGGTGTCTGCAGTCTTGCCTTGAAACGAAAGAATTTGTTAGGTTCCTTACACCTCTGGCACTTTTTCCTAGCATGAATATTTTTTAAAGACAGGGTCTCACTATGTAGCCTCTACTGGCCTGGGACTCTCTATGTAAATCAGGCTGGCCTTGAACTTAAGAGTGATTGCCATATTGGTCTACATAGTGAGCTACAGGTCTGCCTCTGCCTCATGAGTGCTGGCATAAAAGGTATGGGTTACAGCATCCAGCTGATTACTTAATGAAAGATTTCTAACAATCACTATAATATATCTCAGTACTCACTTCACCATTTACAGAGTGTAGTCTCCTTACAAAACATTATCTCACATGCATTATATTCAGTACTCTGCTTCCTTACATGAGTCATGTTAGGGCAGTAAGTAGTAACTAATGACAGGATTCCAAACAGTCACTCAATTACTAACAGTCTCTTTAATATGAAACTTCTTCATGTGTCATAATATTGCTTTTTGGGGCTGGAGAGATGGCTCAGTGGTTAAGAACACTGGTTGTTCTTGTAGAAGACCCAGGTTCAAATCCCAGCACCCACATGGCAGCTAACAACTAACTGTCTGTAACTCTAGTCCCAGGGGATTCTACAGCCTCTTCTGATCTCCACTGGCATTGCATGACACGCTGCACTTACCTACATGCAGGAAATACATACATACACATAAAATAAAAATTTTTAAATAATATTGCCTTTCTTTTAAAGTATATCCCCTTTGGGGGCTGGAGAGATGGCTCAGTGGATAAGAGCACTGTTGCTCTTGCAGAGGATCCAGGCTTGGTTGCCAGTACTCAAATGGCAGCTAACAACCATTCTTTACTCCAGTTCCAGGGGATCTGATGCCCTCTTCTGGCTTCTATGTGTATTGTCAGACGTGTACACTTACATACATGCAGATAAATCACTCATACACATAAAATAAAAATAAATTTTAAAAAATTTAAAAGGATATCCCCTTTTGAAAATATTGATTATAACAGTGTAAACTTTAGTTATTGTTATGCAGACTAAGAAGCTGGGGAGTCTGGAGAAGTTTCTTAGTTACATTAAATTATGAGGTTCTTCTCCAGCCTGCATTTATCAGGTTCACCATGGAAAAGCAGAACATCTTGCATTGGTGAAGTGGTAGAGGAAACGTGGTTTGAGCTCAGGTTAAGTGTTTTACTTACTTCAATCACCTCTTCATTTGGTGTATTTTTGTTAGTTATTCGAAGTTGCCTCAAACGTGTCTTGGAATTTTCTTTGCTGATGTCAATCAGGGCACTTACTTCAAAAACATTTAGAATATTTAAAATGTCAAAATTTAATAGTCATACAAATATACTTCATGTAACTTTTAAAATAAGACTGACTTATGTTAAGTGCATACATTTTATTCCTTATTGAATATAACAAACTACACTAATAGATACTGCAGTTCTCACTCATATCTCCATTGTTCTGTTGTATTCTCCTACTACAGACATAGTTTCTGTGCAGTAACTTTTACCTGTCAGGGTCCCCATTAATCCATTTCTCTATCTTTCATATGTGCAATAGGAAGAGTTTCTTGTATTAGCTGCTTGTATGATACAGTCATTGCCAAATGTTCTCTCTTGAGCAGTAATATAGGCTATGGAAAGGATTACTATATATGTGTGCCTAAATATGTTTACTTCATAGCAATAAACAGGTATAGACTATGCTGTGGGTTTTCTTATGTAAATTATCTTATCCCCAAGTGGGAAGACTACTTCCCCCAAATACTTCTTTATTAAACACATCTTAATGTTTTACACATTTCTTGTACCTCCTGGTACTATGTTTTATAAGTAATAAACATTTCTATTAAAGATGAAATAGCTGAGAAAGTGTACTATGCATATTCACAGACTGATAATACATTTTCCTGTACAGCTAAGAAGGACATATGCATATTTTAAATGACTCTTTTTCTGTATGGATCTAATTTTTTTT